CAAGTGAAAATCAAGCTCACCAGTCGTGAAGAGCGTCTGAACCAGGCTAAAAAAAAGTGGTGAAAGAGGCTAAGGCACGATAGAAAGTAAGTTTTCAGGCTGGAAATGGTGGAGCACAGCTTGCAGGACCGCTGTCCGAGGAAAAGAACGTGTCGTTCGTTAATAAACGGAAATGGGGTCGTGGAGGAGGCAGAGGTCAGCCAAAACGTCCTCGTTCGGAAAATGATTGCCATAATTGTGGCAAACTCGGACATTATGCGTATGAGTGCCGACGCCAGCGAAAAGAAAGCCAACTGCAAGGTACTTCCCCGGATACTACAAACCAAATAAGTCTGGAGGGAAGAAGACCAAGCCTGTTACCATGATTGAGGTCGGGGAAGACAAGCCACTACCGTGTTTTGCAAATCCTAATACGTACAAGACGTCTGGCAATAGCTTTAGCATTCCGTTTGTGTTGGATAACGCATCGGGGGTGAATATCTGTGGATGTCGAGAGACATTTGTGTCTGTGACGTCGGATTGTGACATGGTGATGAGGTGGTTTGAGAAAAAGGCACAGATGAAAGGTTTGGGGAAGTTTGCCATCGTTGATGCGGCGACGAAGATGAAAGTATGGATAACTGTTGAGGCTCTGTTTGTGGAAAGAGCAACCAACCTGTTGTCGCAGCGTGCCCTCTACAAGGATAATGGCTTTTTCGCGCAGATAAGCGAGAACCACGAAGTGACTACGTTATCAAACAGGGTGAAACATATTACCTGGGATTTTGACATGGTTGGTGGACTCTATCAGACAATGGTGGAGGTACCACATTCTCAGCTAGCTGTGTTGCAGACAAATGCTCAGCCGGCAAGATCGCTGCGTTTATGGCATTACCGCCTGGCGCATGCAAACTGGCAAGTGATCCGAGAGATGGCTTCAAACGTGTTGGTGCGAGGCTTGGAGCTGTCAAAGGAGGATCCGAGTAAGAAAGGACAGTGTTACAATTGTAATATGGCGAAGATGAAAGGATGTCTTTTCGCCACACAACGGCAAGTAGAGCGACAAATCCATTTGAAAAAGTACTGATGGACTTGAGCTTCATTCAGGAGAGTACAATGGAGGGATACACGATGTACTTGCATCTCTTGGACGAAGGCTCGAGATATCAATGGGTGTATGGGCAGAAAACGAAGGAGGAAACTGTGAACAATGTGAAGTGTTTTCGACAGATGGTACGAGCAAAACACCATGCTGTCGTGAAGACGTTCCATTCTGATCAAGACACTGAGTTCACGAACCAAGCAGTGGCTAAGATGTGCGCAGGAGAGACAATTCAAATCTTCTCTCACCCTCATTCGCCCGAAGAAGTGTGTCTGATTGAAAAAGCACATGGAGCACTGATGGATAAAGTTCGCTCAGTACTATTTAGCTGTGATCTTCCTGGAATGTTGTGGGGAGAAGCAGCTAGATATGTAGTTGAGACGATTAACAGGACGAGTACTAAGGGTAATGCAAAGAAGGTGAAAAGATGTTTGGATCGAAACCGAGTGTTCGCCACCTTCGACCCTTTGGTTGTCTCGCTGTTAAGTTCGTTGATAAAGTCTATCGTAAGGACAAGTTGTCGGTAAAAGGGGCACCTAGTTTGATGGTCGGGTATGCAACGCAGACGAAAGGTTATCGGCTTCTGGACTTAACAACGGGTGTTTTAAGTGAACATCGGCATGAAAATGTGAAGTTCTACGAAGAAGCTACGGTTGATAGATGGTATGTGGAGAAACTTCTTAATGAAGTGTATCGAATGAGAAGAGGTCCTTCTGTGGACAGTATGAAGCTCCCGCTGGTTCCACTGCCGGTGGTAGAAGTACAAGATACGCATGAAGAACAGGATAATGAGCGTTTGCGTGGCAACGAGAGGAACAATGAGGCAAGTATCGATGATCGGATGCAGGAAGAGATTGATCTATCACAAACATCCGGATCAGAAGAGAGTATGGAAGATAAACCTCCGCCACAACGAAAACGACATTTACCTGTTGAAGCGAAAACTCCACGACGATCCCATCGTGTCCGTAAGAAATCGGCACGACTGGAAGATTTTGTATCCACTGTCTTCAGCTCCTCAGCTTCGGCAACTGCTTCGATAAAGATTGAAGTTCCGAAAACTTGGACCGAAATGATGGCTTCACCGCACAGAGTGAGATGGATTGAAGCCACGAAGGAGGAGTTCTTGGCTCAGCTAGAAAATGAAACGTGGATACTAGTGCCTAGACCGAAGAATGTCCACATCCTCAGAAGCAAATGGGTGTGGACGTTGAAGGAGAACGAGTTAAGGATGTTACGATTCAAATCCCGATTGGTTGTAGTGGGCTGTTTCCAGATTTGGGGAATTGATTTTGATGAGACGTTTGCCCCGGTTGTGAGATTTGAGACTCTAAGACCCGTCTTCCTATGGGTTGACTAAAGCAGTAGCGAAGCAGTTTGATTTTGTGACTGCCTTCCTAAACGCCCCCACTGAACGCATCATTTTCATGGAACAACCTGAAGGTTTTGTGAAGCGTGGATATGAAAACTGGGTGTGTCTACTGAAGAAGAGCATCTATGGATTACGGCAATCACCACGTAATTGGAACAACACGCTACATATCGTGCTGGTTGAGTTTGGCTTTCATCGGAGTTATAAGGATGAAGGTCTGTACTGGATTCGGATTGAGGGCAGACACGTCCTTCTGCCAATCTATGTGGATGATATCCTGCTAGTTGGTAAGGAAGAGGATGTGGATTTCGTAGATGCGGAGCTGACGAAACGTTTTAAGCTGAAATGTCTCGGTGATGTTAATTAGCAATTGGGACTACAGATCCACTACGATCCTGAGACCCACGTTTCGTTCAGGCAAACGAAATACGTCCAAGACATCATGGCAAAATTTAACATGGAGTCCACGTTCTTAGTACGCATTCCGATGACAGTGGATGGGGTTAAGTTGGCAAATGCTAGCCCTGAAGAACACGAGAAAAGTAAGCGGTTGCCGTACAGAAGTCTTGTTGGGTGCCTACAGTACTTAGTAAGTGGATCTCACCCAAAATTGGGCACAGCAGTTCGAATTTTGCGTAAATTTCTGGACAAGTACACTGTGACTCACTGGCGAGCAGCAAACGTGTTTTGCGGTACTTGATTGGTACGCAGGACATGGGGTTACAATTTGATTTTAAAGTGGCACGCCAATTCGATAAATTGAAGATCGAGGTCTACACTGATGCAAATTTCGCCTCGGAAGGAGGAGATATGAAATCCGTAACTGGTTTTACCGTGCTTTGTAACGGACAACTTATCTCGGCGAAATGTTGGAAACAAGATACTCTTGCTGAGAGTCCGAGCTGATTGCAGCGAATACTGGTATTCATGAAGCAATTTGGCTGGAGCAACTAGTGGATGAGCTAGGCTTGAAGAGAGAGACTACAACACTATATTGTGACTCTAGTAGCGCTCGCGAGCTAATGAAGCATGCTGGAAAGCATCGCAGAACCAAGCAGCTCAATATCAGTGACCTCAAGATTCGCGAGTACGTGAAAAAGCGGGGAGTAAAACTAGAACCCGTTGCATCAAAAGC